AGTAAACTACTGCCTGGTACACTGTAGTTAACCTGTTCAGACCCTCAGCCAACAGATGGTCTGTATCTTGTGATCTATTGATTACATAGGGGAGGTAACTGCATGGCTTCAGACTACATGTGCACCTTTTCCATCATTCCATAAAGCTGGACTGTAAAAATCTTCCAAACTTGTACTTTTTTTATTGAAAATTCATTCAAATTTTAAATATTCAATGGAAATGAAGTATTTTCAAACTTAACTACTGTAATGGGTCAAAGGTCACAAGTCAATTATGTATTTAGATTAAATATTTTCAAATCTTTGTCTTTTAGCTACTGGCCAGACATAACAAACATATTACTTTATTAGACAATCTGAAGGATATTCAATATCTTTGAATGAACAAATAATCTTGCCATTATTTCCTTTAAAATTTTGAAATGGCAGATATCACAAATATTTATAAAAAGTGTTTTTGTAACATTCTCATCATAAGATATACATGTACATGTAGTAATGATCCAACTGTATTACTACTGACTTTGGGGAAGATTGTTTTACAAGATTGTGATTATTACAAATAAGTTGTATCATCTCCCTTGTTGTGACAGAGTAGGAAAAGGGGTAAAATTGTAATGCTTTTTAAGGTGTTACATATGTAAACAGCTTGCTATCAGTATATATTAATGGTAGTCTGGGACTGGCCGACAGCTGGAGCTAGCTGTGTTGTGTGGCAGGTATATCTATACTGGAACCTACACAGATAGAGTGACAGCTGTCTACCATCTCAAGTACACATACACACAATCACACAAACACAAATAAAGTTTGATTAGTAATTATAAAATACTTGCCCAAGTATGTCTTTGAATTATGAGGTAATAGTCTGGTAATGAGGGGGTCATTAAATACAGCCAAGCAGCATGCATACATTTAAAAATGGACCTAAAACCTCAATATCCTTGCGCATCCCCTAAAGGTTTCTTAAAATGTTTATATATCAGCAACATTTCATAATCCCCTTCCCCCCTCACCAATAACAAGGTGTAATTAGTCTGTATATTTTTTTTTTACTGACTATTGCATAAATATTATCTTTAATAAGTGTTTTTATTATCTGTATTCCCCCATAGAACTACTCTCTTGTTTGAGGTTTTATTATCTGTATTCCCCCATAGAAATACTCTCTTGTTTGAGATTTTATTATCTGTATTCCCCCATAGAACTACTGTCTTGTTTGAGGTTTTATTATCTGTATTCCCCCATAGAACTAACTCTCTTGTTTGAGGTTTTATTATCTGTATTCCCCCATAGAAATACCCTCTTGTTTGAGATTTTATTATCTGTATTCCCCCATAGAACTTCTCTCTTGTTTGATGTTTTTATTATCTGTATTCCCCCATAGAACTGTTCTCTTGTTTGATGGATAAACTAGGCTACACTAAACAGAAAGTCATTCTTAATTGAGAATTGATGAGTCAGATATCATTCTATCTATAAACTTCTATAATCCTTATAGTAACCTCACAGGGTTATAAGTGCTTGTAAACCTTTACAACTGGCCGGGGAGAAAAGTTTTTGTGCTTTAAAGTAAAGATGACATAAAGTGATCACTCATTCCACATCATCCTCATCACTCTTTCCACATCATCCTCATCACTCATTCCACATCATCCTCATTCCACATGATCCTCATCACTCATTCCACATGATCCTCATCACTCATTCCACATCATCCTCATCACTCATTCGACATCATCCTCATCACTCATTCCACATCATCCTCATCACTCATTCCTCATCATCCTCTTCACTCCTTCCACATCAGCCTCATCACTCATTCCACATCATCCTCATCACTCATTCCATATCATCCTCATCACTCATTCCACATCATCCGCATTCCTCATCATCCTCATTCCTCATCATCCTCATCACTCATTCCATATCATCCTCATCACTCATTCCACATCATCCTCTTCACTCATTCCACTTCATCCTCATCACTCATTCCACATCATCCTCCTCACTCATTCCACATCCTCCTCATCACTCATTCCACATCATCCTCATCCCTCATCATCCTCATTCCTCATCATCCTCATCACTCATTACACATCATCCTCATCACTCATTCCTCATCATTCTCTTCACTCATTCCACATCATCCTCATCACTCATTCAACATCATCCTCATCACTCATTCCACATCATCTTCATCACTCATTCCACATCATCCTCATCACTCACTCCACATCATCCTCATCACTCATTCCACATCATCCTCATCGCTCATTCCACATCATCCTCCTCACTCATTCCACATCATCCTCATCACTCATTCCACATCATCATCATCACTCATTCCTCATCATCCTCATCACTCATTCCACATCATCCTCATCACTCATTCCACATCATCCTCATCACTCATTCCACATCATCCTCATCACTCATTCCACATCATCCTCATCACTCATTCCACATCATCCTCATCACTCATTCCACATCATCCTCATCACTCATTCCACATCATCCTCATCACTCATTCCACATCATCCTCATCACTCATTCCACATCATCCTCATCACTCATTCCACATCATCCTCATCACTCATTCCACATCATCCTCATCACTCATTCCACATCATCCTCATCACTCATTCCACATCATCCTCATCACTCATTCCACATCATCCTCATCACTCATTCCACATCATCCTCATCACTCATTCCACATCATCCTCATCACTCATTCCACATCATCCTCATCACTCATTCCACATCATCCTCATCACTCATTCCACATCATCCTCATCACTCATTCCACATCATCCTCATCACTCATTCCACATCATCCTCATCACTCATTCCACATCATCCTCATCACTCATTCCTCATCATCCTCATCACTCATTCCACATCATCCTCATCACTCATTCCACATCATCCTCATCACTCATTCCACATCATCCTCATCACTCATTCCACATCATCCTCATCACTCATTCCACATCATCCTCATCACTCATTCCACATCATCCTCATCACTCATTCCACATCATCCTCATCACTCATTCCACATCATCCTCATCACTCATTCCACATCATCCTCATCACTCATTCCACATCATCCTCATCACTCATTCCACATCATCCTCATCACTCATTCCACATCATCCTCATCACTCATTCCACATCATCCTCATCACTCATTCCACATCATCCTCATCACTCATTCCACATCATCCTCATCACTCATTCCACATCATCCTCATCACTCATTCCACATCATCCTCATCAAAGATGGTGTCCCTGTGAAAACCCTGGAAGAAATGCTTTCTTTTTCAATAACAAAAATCTACATGGTCAAACATCACCAATTACCTATATCTATAGAGCATCCCAGAGCGAGGCTGATATATGACACATCCATTTCAAAAGAATTTTTGTATTGTAGATATGTACAACACATTAATGTATACAAACTTATGTAAATTTATCCTCCGAATGTTGTTATCATGCTTCATGAGTAGTACCTAATTCCATGGTGTGATTGTACAGTTACATGTAGGCTCACAGGGCATGAGCTAACTCTCTGACATCAGTGTATATATCAAGTCATCAAATCTTACATCAAATTTACTCCTTCCATTAAAAATCACATTTTCTTCAATGAATATGTTATATGATAAAGTTTGGAGGAGAATTGATTACAATTGAAATAAAATCGTGTTTTTATTTTCAAATGGATTCTACCTTCTTAAACTTGTGGAATTTATTTTGAAAAGTATGGATGAAACCTTTTTAAACTGGAAGTGAATGGGACTGAAGTATTTGATCAGTTTATGAAGGGTCTAGGATAATTGACCAATGAAAGTTAGGCTTGAATGAACAGGGTGTTTTTACATGGAAATTTGACATAACAAGATCATTCAACTGAGAGAAGACAACTAAGATCCATATTAGACAGGGTTGGCAGACTACTGTTATAAGTATCAGAAAAAAATTGCTGAGACCAAACATCAAAGTCTGTCTAGAATTTAATCTGGATAAGACAGGCCCATTTAGACAGGTTAAAAATATTTCAAAAGTAAATCCAATCAATTATCTTCTGTTTATGCATGATCACGTGACAAAGTGTGTAACCTAGCACTGAGCTGTACAATACCCACAACAAAAGGGTCAATGTGACACCAATATCTCCCCTCTAGAGTTCGTACCTTTGTTAATAGATTATATAGTATCAGTAAGATAGTGCTGATACAGACAGATAACTGCCCACTGTAAATAGTTATCTGTGCCCTCATGTATTCTGAGTTAGCATTGAACACTGATAGAAAAATGCAGCTGGCTCCATCATTTTAATCAAACCTAGAGCAACAGATGATATTGATCAAATACAAGTACTGAACATATTGTGCTTGGCAGGTATTATCTCCAGGATATTAAAGTTATACATTAATGTATATCTGTTATAAACAACATGTGGTATACATGTATTTTACCCCTTGATAAGGATAGTATAGCTTCCATATACTAGATAATAAACAGCATTTGGTATACAGGTTTTACACATATACAAATTCATAGCTATATATACCTGTACATCTGTATATATGAAAAAAACAGCATGTGGTTTAGAGGTATCATACTTGTAGGATATTATAGCTATACGAGTATATATATAATGAACAGAAAGTAGTGTACAGGTTTATATTTTACTTGTAGGATATCGGGTGATATATATATATACATGTAAATATAATTTTCATTTCATTATCACATTAATCAACTTGACCTTTCAATTTTCAAATTTCAGAAAGACACCTGAGGTTAACTTATATCCTTGAAAGCATCACTTGTTTATGTGTGATTAGCAGCCACATTTACATTAAAATTGACTGTAAAATTAGTAGAAGAGGAATCAGACATATGTTATATAACTAATAATACTGTTAGGTATGTGAGTATGTTTAACTGTACAATGTATAATATTAATCCAGTCCTATTTGCAGGATGGTGAGATGTTAAGCGTGAGATGTCAAAGTGGGTGTTGTCGGGGATACCACCAAAGACAGGAAGGTAAATGTATTGTATGTCCCGCACTGGTACTACTGCCAAAGGGCTTTATTATGAAATTTAAACTCCGCCTGTATAACTGTCTGTGCATCATTTTGTCTTTGGCATATACAAAAACTGGGTCCCATGCTCTATTATGTGTGTATATACTGATTTATTGCCTTTTTTTAATAGCAAAGCTTGTTTGGAGGTGGGGAACTTAAAATGAATTTGCTTGCAATACTTTTTCTTTTTCCTTGATCAAGTGTATATTGTCTTGCAAAAGTAATTGTTGCAAAAATACTCTTGATGAATAAATAATTTTCCAAAATTTACAAACATCTTTAAAATAAAACTGAAAATTAGATTGCCTTGGTTATTTATCAGAGTATATTTATTGTACATATTGTACTACACTTATACTGTATTCATGCATAGAAATCTGATGACCATGGTAATTTTAAGCATACAACAAAGCATACAACTTGATTCTAAAGTGTATCAACATTTTATAATGTATATTTGTCTTAAATATATTTTAATATTGTTATTGATAATTCATCTTTTTTATTTCATATTGACATAAAAAAAAAATGAAAACATTGCCTTAAAAAACCTGTAAACCAGTAGGAATCCATTGTTTCATGGAATTGTTAATTTTCACAATATAGAGTTTAGTTTTAGAGCTTTAATCTTTATTTTACAGATGACAGTTTTGGAAATTGTAATGATTGCAGTTACCAAGGCAACAAAATCAGGAAAGAAGAAGTAGACAGATTTTGTGTGGCATGCCAAGAAAGTTTGAGGAAAATTAAGGAAGACAGTAAAAATGGTAAAGATTATTAGGGCCCTATAGTAATCACTCTGTCTGTCTGTCTGTCCGTCCACAAATTTTGTTCCTGGCTGATAACTTTGGTATTTATTGACCGATGTACATTACAAAAATACACATTGAGGTAAAAAAGTCAAGGTCAAAGGTCAAGGTCATTAGGTTCAAAGGTCCAGGTCAAATTTTACATATTTTTACTGAAGAACATTTTGTTATGACAATATGAAGCAAAGTTGATCAGAATAAAACAAGGAGTCAACTGACAAAAGGTCAAGGTCATCGGGTCAGGGGTCAAGGTAACATTTTGTAGCTTTTCACTGGTGAACGTTTCGCTATGACATTATGAAGCAAAGTTGTTCGGAATTAAACAAAGAGACACACTGAGGTAAAAAGTTGAGGTCAAAGGTCAAGGTCATTATTTTCAAAGGTCTAGGTCAAATTTTGCTTCTTTTCACTGATGAACATTTTGTTATGACATGATGAAGCAAAGTTGATCAGAATTAAACAAGGAGTCAACTCACCAAAGGTCAAGGTCATTGGGTCAAAGGTCAAGGTTAAATTTTGTATCTTTTCAATGGTGATTATTTCACTATCACACTAATTTGAAGCAATGTTGCTCAGAATTACATTTGTAAACAAGGAGTCAATTGACCAAAGGTCAAGGTCACTTGGTCAAAGGTGAAGGTTAAATTTTGTACCTTTTCCCTGATGAACATTTTGTTATGACATTATGAAGCAATGTTGTTCAGAACTTAACCCAGTGTCAACTGACCTTAGGTCCAGGTTATGGGGTCCAAAGGGACAAGGTCAAGTTTTGTATTTTTCACTGATGAACATTTTGTTATGACATTAAGAAGCAAAGTCGGTCGGAATTAAAGAATAAGTCAACTGACCAAAGATCAGGGTCACTGGGTTAATGGTTAAGGTCATTTGGGTCCTGTGGATCTCTGACTTTGACCCTGGCTCTTGTCGGAGGAGGTATATAAGGTGAAATAAAACAAATCAAAGCTAACAAATGAGTATTGCACCGGTATTTACATTTCAGTTAGCCATGCAAATATGGAGGTGGAAGGAAACAAGACTCACATCATAGTACATGTAAAATGATTCCTTGCGATTCTTTTTGAAGTCCAAATGTCAAACGTCAAGCTCAGCTATATGGGCAGATTGCTTCTTGATGATTATGGGGGATATATTGCCACAAGACGGGGCCCTTACTGACCTGTCAGTGTTCTAGTTTTCTTATCAAATATCTAATAATTAAGTCTTATAATGAAATAAGGTTAATGATGACAGAAGGTACATGTATCTCCTGGCAAAACCAATAGCATTGTAACAATACATGGAATATCTTATTGGGAGAAATATAAAGAGAGATAACTCTTTGAAAAATCTCAGATCATTTTTTTGTATATTTTTTATTCTTTTCTAGATCCCTTGAAGGTATTACAGTTATGTAAGCAATGTGAAGAAGAACAGAAACAGTTTTTCACTGACCATAATGTCCACTGTGTCCATCTGCTGGTGAAGGCTTTTGATGCAGGAATAGAAAGTGGACAGTGGGAGACTGCACTTAAGTATGGCACACGTGTTCAGGAATCTTACAGGTACCTTGTTATGTCTGTACAAATCTCTCAGAAAAAATAAATTCTCCACTCAAACATATGAGATGCCTGTATGATTGGTCCAAAATGATCTTCACATGTGTTTATTAATAGTTAAAGATATAATCACCTTATAAAATAAATAACGTATGAGAAGTTATCAAAAGAAATCAATATGTGGCACAGCTGAACTGATTGTATTTGTAACAGTTGATCTCTCTAGATTGTATTTATAACAGTTGATCTCTCTAGATTGTATTTGTAACAGTTGATCTCTCTAGATCAAGCGTATCAGCATGGCTGATTTTGATTTATATCACAAAAAGGAAATAAACATTTCTGCATTGACTTGATGCATTACAAACATCATATTTAATAGCAATCTATTTATAGAAAGTCAATCACTCCTGCGGGATATACTTGAGATTTTGGTGATCATACTGCTTAAATTCATTAGTAAATACACTTGTACATGTTAACTAAACAGATTTATAAACGTTTTTATTTAACTTTCTTTAACTGTTAATAACATTGACTAGAAAATTTTCCAGTGAAAGCTGTCAAGTAATCAAATGAGATTGGATCAAATGACAAATTAAACAGTGTTGAATGGCATGATCTTTTTTCTTTCAAATCAATAACAGTACTCGCAGAACAGATCAATCTATTCTTGATGAGTGTTTTTGTGATGACTTCTAGTATGTATTGTGTATATCAATACATACAAATGTAAATAAATATCTTAACACAGATTGCTGTTATTTTCGAGGATTGATTTTAAGGTCTATTATCTCTATGACTCATAAAGTTCACTATTAAGTGAGTCCTATTTTTATAATTGCTAAAAATAAAATAGGCAGGACAAGGGTTCAAAATAATCATCTGCAGAATAAAACCCACAAAAAGTTTATAATTCTAAATATATATTACAAAAAATTTGTCAGAGGATTAAAACTATCATCTGGAGATTATGCCTACAAACATACTGTTTATCTATATATGTTTAAAAACAATGATGAATTAGATAACTTTATCTAACATATCACTGAGCAAATAAAGCTAGATAAAACAGGATACAGAACTCAGTTGTATCAAGTTACAGTGGCCTCCAACGAAATATTCATTATTTAGGTTACATTTTAAATCAGTGATAAACACGTGATTTCATGTTCATTAAATAAGTATGTCCTAGCTGGTATTCAAAGTAATTACCCTCAGTGGATAGAATGTGGTTTTTTCATATTTCTTCATAATGTCAATGTTGTTTGATATTTTGAGTTAGATAATATTATACATTTAGTACCCTGTTGGTAGGTAAACATAACTGATCAAGGGGAAACAAATAATTGTGTTTCCTTACAGTAAAGGAACACTTCCTCAACAGTGAAGATGATCAAGCTTCCATGCATTTGATGTCATTTACTTCAATCAGTTGGAAATCAAGTGTGGTGCCTCTTGCTCATTTTTCTTAAGAGACTATAAGTATGCACACTTAGTGTTTTATTTCCTCAACTTGTGATCAATATAATCCAATCAGATGTGCTATTCTGTAGATGAGGTATAATTCTATTTAGCACATGATCATTTAGAAAGTGAAGTTTGGTACAACTGGTCAAGTTCTTTATGAGTAAGATTACAAGTTGATAAGTTTTTACTGTATACAGTAATGCTATAGCTAGCTGCTATTGACTTTAAGTCATTTTAATTGAACTTGTCTATTATCTATATAATCCACAGAAAGTTTTACCCTCCCAACAGTCCCCATGTTGGAATAGAGCTAATGAAGGTTGGGAAGATTCAGTTATACTTGGAGCAATGTCAGCAAGCTTTGATTACCCTACAACAGGTGAGTAGCTTTAGGGACTGATGGATGTTGGGAAGGGTCTGTTATACTTAGGAGCAATGTCAGGAAGCTTTGATTATTCTACAACAGGTGAGTAGCTTTAGGGACTGATGGATGTTGGGAAGGGTCTGTTATATTTGGAAGCGATGTCAGCAAGCTCTGATTACCCTACAACAGGTAAGTAGCTTTAGGGACTGATGGATGTTGGGAAGTGTCCATTATACTTGGAGCAATGTCAGCAAGCTTTGATTACCCTACAACAGGTGAGTAGCTTAAGGGACTGATGGATGTTGGGAAGTGTCCTTTATACTTGGAGCAATGTCAGCAAGCTTTGATTACCCTACAACAGGTGAGTAGCTTTAGGGACTGATGGATGTCTGTTTTACCTAGAGCAGTGTCAGCAAGCTTTGATTGATAAAGTAGTTTTAATATATATATATATATATATAGAAAAAATAAAATTAACGACCGACTAAAAAACTTTTTTAGTCTGTCGTTAATTTTATTTTTTCTATATTTACTTCCTTCACATGGACATTTAATCACTTTTTATTATATATATATATATATATAT